TCCACAAGATGATTACACAACGTGTCACGCTCATTGAGAGCGAGACGGCGAAGGGTCGCACTGGTTATGTTCGCACGATTTCTCCTCAACAATCTCCAATACTGTTTCGGAAATTCCGATTTAGTAACACTCGTCAATGAACTGAATTCGAGCCTCTGGCAGAGCCAGTTTCGTACGGAACTTAACATAGTTATTAAGTCCGCGAAATACGATGGGATCTTTGGCTTGCTTTAATTGTCTAGTGCAATGGTTTCACATCTAGCTGAAACAAATTACAATGTGAATGTGACCGAGGCATTCCGTCCCCTGTATCGGGTTCGTGGTCGATTATCAACGCAGGTTCGCTGTCGTATGCTAACCACAGCGGAAGCGGTAGGAATTTGGCTGCACCACCCCCCTTTGTGTGCCCAAAAACCATCTGTGCAGGCGCTTAAGCTCCCCTGGTCCACCCCCCCCTATACACCCCATATTCCGAGTGGTCCCAACGATCGGATGACCTAACAATCATGCGATCATTGGGAATCTTGTATGTGTTTTGATGCTTTAAACATATTTTGCAAAGGAGAACCTGGGGAAATAATTTTCTCATTTTTATCTTATAACTGTTATGAGTTAAAACGGCAATATGGACGAGATCAGTCCAACACGGTGATTACTAATAATAGTGAGCTTCAACTAGTGATACAATGGCTAAACCATTGACTTAAGTCATCCAATCAAGAAACGCATCTTGTGGACGTCGCTCATTTAAACCAATGTGGGTCATCGGGGTATAAATGATCTGCGTTTTTCGACAACATAACGAGATGCAGCTATTCATGTTTTATTGGTGGTTATCAACGCCAAAAAGACATTCACTAATATTTAGCTTAGAAGTTCACTTTCTACGTGAAAAGTTCGTGGGTAAGTGATCAAGTGTAAATAAACGACTATTTTACTGGTCACCAATCATTGTTTCAATGAATTTTTCTGGATTTCTTTTCACCGTGCGCATGATTTTGGTCGGCTGTTAGTCAGACCGTTTCATCCTCGTTCTAGTTTTCTGTCACATACGACTTGTTTCTTACTATCAACAAGTACATTTTGATCGGCAGCTTATTGGGAGCAATGATGGATTCGGTGTAGTGCGCAAAGTGGCCTCAATCAAACTTCTGTCAAATTAGTCCTACGCAAATCTAGTCAAGCATCATTTGTCTTTCAATTGTCTACATGTTAAGTGAGCTGGCAACAAAACAAGCATTTTGAACACTACGTTGGCCCCCTCCTAAAACCAATAGAATGGCACCCAAGTTAAAGCGCATACACTAGAAAATTTGACCAGTGAATTAGGGATGCTGTGTATCACAGTCCAAAAGCAGTCTGTCTGTAGATAGGTTGTGTTCGTACATTCTAGATATAACGAGTACGCCTTGACCATATTTAGTAAACACCCATTGTAGCTTCAATTTAAGGTAGATTATTAAAATCAAATACAAAAAATAACAGAACTGCCTTTTGTGCGGGGTCAAAGCTTTCGGCTTTTATCCGAAAACCTTATCTGCGACTTAGTTCAGACTGAACATTTTAAAGTATGTGAGCGTTTCCCATAATATATTTAGATATGCATGTATACGACAATTTTAATCAAATTATGAACGTTTGCTATCCGAGAAACGATGGGTAAATGTTTCATTTGTAGTTGAGATATGTTTTCATAGTTATGGAACTGTAAGGTTGCCTTGTGTACAGAAGTAAAGCGAAATCTAATGAATGATGGTATGAAGAGAATGCGAATTGCGCCCAACACGAAATGTTCTCCGTTTGCGGTCCTCCGGCTTCAAAGTCATCTTTCAAAACCACATGTACTATTTGCTTACCATTTTTTACAATACTTTGACAGTGTTTTTTTCTTAAAAATAGATTTTAAAAATAGATTCTGGTTTTTCTCATTAGCAACCAGTTGATTTTGGTGTCTTTTTTATTGCGATACTTTTCGTAGGTGACCCAAAGAAGCTCGTAGCCTTTAATCAGAATGCTAACCATGACTCGAAGTTTTCTGGTCGGATGTTAATTTTTATTATCTGTAACTACTTTTAGGATAAAATTTTACATTGGTTCTTCATTCATTTTACTATATTGAATTGATCTGATGCTGCAAGAAACTACTCCAGTATTGATCAATAAAATGAGAACAATTAATCCAGTAGTCCCGTTGGAATAGTCAGCAACCATTTTGTAGTATCCCATATCCAGAGACGGAATCCAAGGGTCATTCAATTTTAAACCTTGTACAAATGGATATCAAATGGATTTTGGTTAGAAAATTAAAAATAACATCACAAACGTTTTGACATTACTTCCAAAACGCATTAGCACTGGCGATCTGTAATCAACTGCACGAACATCGGGCGCAGTAAGCCTGTTGTTCTTAGATTGACATTCTGATCTCGGGAGAAGTCTGGCATCCTGTCACGTACTAAACAATTCTTCCCACCCAAGGAAGACGATCATTCACCAGCTTGCTCGCACCATGCGGATTTTGCATTATGATCAGCTATTTAAGGCTCTATTTCAACTCCACAATAATCAAATTCGGAACTACCAGAGAACGTATCGAACACAACACTCAACGAGGTTTGTGTTCTGCTCAGCAGGCTCAGAATTTGGAAATGGAAATGGAAAATGAAAAAATTTGACTATACGTTTCTCACAAATTGTGCCCATTCAAAGTTTGTTAACAAACCCCATACCTTGGAAGTGTTACTAGCCGATAAAGTAGTCAATAGTAGTCAGGAAGGACTGCAATTCACAAGGACAGTTGCTGAGACCTTTGAGAGCAAACCGTATTCGACAAGTGAAATAAAAGAACGAGGTATATTAGAGTCCTTAAGTGAATGGCACATTTTTGATTTCAGCCACATAATTTCGACCCTTTGCTTTGAAGCGATACTGCCTTCCTTATTCTTAAAAGATATCGCGAAAAATAAGAGTTACATATAATACATCATGTCAACTTCAACATAAAACGGGTATGGTTAGATGTTGTTTTCAACTCAACTATTTTGCGTATATTCTGCTTACAACAGCGTCAATTTACTTTCATTTTTCTTATCTTGTCTTATCTGCAGGAGGTTTTAAAGTCATTCCATTTTTATTAAACAGCATAATTTACCATCAGTCTTTGTTCAGTAAAAGGTTGCATTGGGTACGAAGAAGTGAACGAACAGAGAAACAGAGTTGGAACGGGACCGCGCAACATCTTGATCCATATGAGAGTGAACTAAACAGATAGATTACCGACACAGTCTTGAATAAGATCTCTTTTTTTTGCTTGCTGAGAAAAAATCCCAATAAAGGTTGCAAACCTTTTGTGTAAACCAAGCGATTGGACCGTTAAACTGTTTTATCTTACCCTCGTGAAACTGACAACAACAGTCGTCAAAATCAACATTAAGGCAGTGTTTTAAAAACAGCTTTCCATTCTATTATGCACCTATTTAGAAAGAATTCCTGTCCACTATCGACATTTGTCAAGTGAAATTCACAAGTGATCAAAAACAATCACGTATCAGTCACAATGTTACAGAGAGAATAACATTCTTCGTCGCCGACTTTGTGCTCAGCTCCGGATGTGCTAAAGAGAGAGAGAGAGAATCTGATCCAGCCAAACACACTGTAGCTTCATCCCGCAAGGATAACAGACATAATCCTATTCACTTCCCCCCTCCGCGGTCTCCACATTTAAGTTCGAAGATACCCACTATAGAGGGCCTTCTATCTCACTCAATCAGTCTTTCTTGTGCATTCACTTACCTCATGCTCATCAGCATATCGACATTGGTGCAACAATTTCTCCATTTGTCTAGGATCCTTAGTCCATCGGGACAAGTCATTCCGGAAACAGTGTGGACTAACGTTCTCGTTGCGTGGAAGCTGTCCCGGTTCAGTTAGAACGGATGTGACCAGCGGGCGAATATGCATTCGCGGTGGACATCGAAGCTGAGCGGAGTCAGGCTGACAGATCACCAGACTGGTTCGAGCGAAGATTGACCACAATTCATCCACTGAGTCTGTGTTATCATACAAGTGACCTGAAATTATAGTAATACCGATAATAATACTAGTGACAGCACGAGATACATAAACGTAAAACTTGTATAAAATTATTGCACAGCTCAAAGCATAGAAATGTGGATGCTAACTAGAAATCAGTTATAGCATAAATCCTCCGTTTCAGATACTGTCACCTGAACGAGCTAATTTAATGGTTAATACACCGTGGCAAAAACGTAAATACTGTATAAAAACAATTCAATTAAAGGGAAAAGCGTGAAGCAAAATTCAGGTCCTTTGTGGGAATAATCAAGGACTTATTTCCGTTTCGTTACTTTTGTTTAACTTGACCAAGCCGGAAAACAGTGCACCAGTAAACCCATTGTTATTTCGAGTTTGATGGTTAACGTACGGCAGACCCTAGAATCCAGTGAACGGGAGTTGTCTCAAACTGCCCACCTCGGTTCCTAGTCATCGACTGTTAGCTAGGAGTTTACAGTATACGAGAGCTTTGTTCAGTTGGACTGAGTAGTATCTGATTCAGCAGCATCACAGGTCACTTCTTTCTAGAGAGAGTAACTATATCTAACTAATCAGTTTTACTGTTATCATAGTAGAAGCATACAGGTTTGTTCATTTACTGTGCGGTTTACACCCTCAAACTTTCTGAGGCGTCTTGAAAAAGAGCATCGCGTTTAGTGCACAGTTGTGTCTTGAAGCATGCCAAGATTGTAGTTTGCTGACATTTCACTTTTATTTCTACCTGAGACTGACAAGGTCATATACTTTCTAGTTCTTTCATTTGGTGGATTACTGATGATTCAAATCGTGATAATAACTAGTTTTTCAAGTAACACCACCTACAAAAGGGCGTCTGTTCACAGCCACTAGTCAAGCATGTGAATAAACTAAAGTGCAGAAGTACCGAAAGATTTTCAAACTGAAGCTTCTTCTAGAACCGCTGAACACTGTCTCGGTCTTCATTTACATTGGCACAAGTAGTGTATAGGGTAAGTGACCACCAGCCTTAGAATTAAAGGAGTAGTTGCCATTAATTGACGGATCCCATCGACATCTTCAGATGAGTCATCTTCAAAACAAATGATGGTAACCCGTCTGAACAATGTTTTGTTCTGTAGGTTCCTGAAGTCAAACTTAAGAGTTGAGCAATTGAGCCAAGTAAGCGGATAAGATGAAGTGAGGAGAGGGCATCAAATGTGGAGCTCCCAAGGTAGTTGATTTGGTTGTAGTTGTGCTACTTGTCACGACAGTTGTCGCCACGCGTGTGACCCAATCCGTAAACTAAACATCGAACACCACCAGCAGCAGCACTATCACCATCACCATCACTGCCACCACCACCTTCACTGCGGACAGTGTAAACAATCATAGCATGAGTCAGTATGGGTCAGCAAACAATACGGCGATTCCGGAAATGAATGATCAACGGAACAAGCGAAATCACTTTCTCAGGCAAATTGAAA